TTTGTTTGTCTTTTCCTTTTCAATTATTTTTTGTTTTTCTTTGCTAACTGATGTTGTCGGCGGCATTTTGAGTGTTTAACTTTGAGTTAAATTTTTCGTTTGAATTGATCAGCATTTTGACTACAATTAACGCCTATCGGGCTTTTGTCCTTTATTTTTCTTACCTTTTTTGTACCCTGCTATTACGATTGTAGGGGTAGATCCCCCTCCTCCACGCGACTACCTCTTCCCATACCCAACTCTTTATGTCAGTTAAACATGGCATGGTCTGAAAGTTCTATGGGCCGCAGAGTGTCACTCCAAATATCAGTTATCTGTGTCCATTGTGTTATAACTTACCTGGAGGCCCACCCAGCACTATTTGTCTTCTTGAAAAGTTCTTTCGGAGGTAGGTCTCTGCCCTTTTTTTTTTAAATTCTTTGGCGAACTTCCAATGGACATCTCGACTTTAACTAAGTTAAAATTTAGTACCTTTTTTTTTTTTAGTAGGAGTAAATAGGCTTTCCTATCGCCCGGTCCATATTCCTTTTCTCTCTCTTGAACAGGAGTAAAGTCTCATCCCTTGTTTAGTGTTTAGGAAGGATTTTTCGGTTTCTGTCCTTCTTTTAGGCCTTAATAGTAGTGCTTCCATTAATTTTTTTGTTATATGCTTGGATGGTGGCAACGTCTCTTCATTCTAAGGGTACCAGGTTGGCAGTTTTCTGATTGCTGTTGCGACGTAGCATCTTGAAAGGCTGTTCCGCACAACAGTCACATAATATCGGGTTTCTTTCAGTTGTATGACAACGCATGGGATGGAGTCTCTGCAAGCACTTTCGTTAGGCAACCCCGAAGCCACACTATGTTGCAGGCTACGCTAGATCCCTTCCTGCACATGTAACACTAGACGACTGGCTTCTACTACTATCCTAACCCTTTCCTTACCAAAATAAACCATCATGAATTCAAACAACCAAAGACAAAAATCCTTAACCTTTCTTTCTACAAAATATATGATGTTGGTACCAATTTCACCTCGCCCTGGGTATGACGATAAACTACATCCGCGTCCTGGGTAAGACGATAAACTACGTCGAACGGCCTCTGATCAGGAGGTTTTGAGGAGCGTGGAACCTCCTTTTATTGCAGGTGTCTCCAGGTTCACCCTGACCCGGGGTGGTAGAATCTATTAGGGTCCCAGCTATGGGCAAATATTTAACACCCAAACTTGTGTAAAAGTAGGTTTTGATACCAGAAATACTTTGTAATGAAAAATATTTTTACCAGCAATAATTTTTCAATGAAAAATTTTTCAGAAAGCATTTTAAAATATAAGTATCAGCAATACAAATATTCTTTGAAAAAAATTATATGACCAGCTATAGATTTCTTCAAGGAAAAATATTACCAGAAATAGATTTTTGAAGAAAAATATATTACCAGCAATAAAAATTTTGTCGGCATTAAATTACCCATTGAGGTGTTGATATGCCCTAAAACAAACCAAACCAATTTCTGGTGTCGTATCATTCCTCTGCAAAAAGTCTCCGGACATCCTGGCTATCTGTGAAATTAATCTTAACTCTTAATTCCCTCCTTTGGTTCATCGATTCCTGACTACCTTAGAAAGGACTCTAATGTCCATATGCCTGACCTGGGAGTTTATGTCTGTGAACATCATCCTCTGGCTAGGGAGCTCTTTCTTGATTAACTATACCATTCTTACATGTGTCTCCATGTCTCTCTACTAAACTCAGTCAGCTATCTATTCTTTACAATTCCTCTTTCCTCTCAAGACTGTGACATGCTAGAGAGTATTTCGGGCAATATAGACAAGGTCAGCTCTCTGCACCCGTTTGCAAATATATTTGTGTTCGGTGACTTTCATGCCTACCATACCAGGTGGCTTAAACACTGTCGCTGACGTCGCTGGCATCCAAACACTTATCAATCACTCAATCTCACACACAAGTGGTAGACTTCCCCACGCGTTTCCTGAGTAACCCTGAAGGAAATGCTTCTCTTCTCGATCTCTTTTTTACCTCTATACCTGACTCATGTCATACTACGCAGCTCTGCACTGATTATGCTGTTATCTATAGACGCCTCCTTGCGCTCCCACACCAGCCATCAACAAACTCATTCCGTGATTTCCTACGCGACGTCCTTTGAAATGAATCCTCTTCAAAAATGTGCGTCTGAGGCCTCCCCACGCCGGCAAAAAGCCGACATCGACGCTTTCTTTTCAGCAAGGAAATACCAAATTAAACCACGTTTATCTCCTTGCTTCTCAACTGCAAGCTCTTCTGATATAACCCAAAAGAATCACTTCTTCCGACTGTACCGGAGTGACACGTCCGATTGCAACAGACGTCACTTTGTCCCTGCTCGTAACGAGAGCAAGCGCGCCCATCAAAAGCGAAGTTAGTGTTCGGTGATAGAATTTTTATTCTCAATGTTGACACATTTGTACTGCTTACACATGATTTCACAAATATGACAGAGATTCTACTGCGTGATATGCGTATCACGACGTCACTTGTCTCAATCATCATTTTCAAATTAGAATCGAATAAGCGGAGGTGAGGGATCCCAGCCATCGTCTTAAAGAAATGTTACTCTCGAACTGGCTCCAATCATCTTCAAACACAGCAGTTATTGCCTCGCTGCTTCTTGCTTTCCAGTTTGTTGGAGGTCATCCTATGTAACTGTCTATATTTCTGAGATGAGGTATTATGTACACTATTTACATTATTCAGAATATTGTCCTCATCTTTGTTGCCATGTTTATTACAACGTTTCGGCCTTTCAGTATCTGTCTATATTACTGAGATGAGATATTATGTACACTATTTACATTATTCGGACTATTGTCCTCATCTTTGCATCATATTTATAACAACGTTTCGGCCTTTCAGTATCTGTTCATATTTCTGAGATGAGGTATTATGTTCACTATTTACATTATTCGGACTATTGTCCTCATCTTTGTTGCCATATTTATTACAACGTTTCGGCCTTTCAGTATCTGTCTATATTTCTGAGATGAGGTATTATGTACACTATTTACATTATTCGGACTATTGACCTCATCTTTGCAGCCATATTTATAACAACGTTTCGGCCTTTCAGTATCTGTCTATATTTCTGAGATGAGGTATTATGTTCACTATTTACATTATTCGGACTATTGTCCTCATCTTTGTTGCCATATTTATTACAACGTTTCGGCCTTTCAGTATCTGTCTATATTTCTGAGATGAGGTATTATGTACACTATTTACATTATTCGGACTATTGTCCTCATCTTTGTTGCCATATTTAAGTCAATGTTTCGGCCTTTCAGTATCTGTCTATATTTCCGTGATGAGGTATTATGTACACTATTTACATTATTCGGACTATTGTCCTCATCTTTGCAGCCATATTTATAACAACATTTCGGCCTTTCAGTATCTGTCTATATTTCTGAGATGAGGTATTATGTACACTATTTACATTATTCAGACTATTGTCCTCATCTTTGTTGCCATATTTATTTACGTTTCGGCCTTTCCGTATCTGTCTATATTTCTGAGATGAGGTATTATGTACACTATTTACATTATTCGGACTATTGTCCTCATCTTTGTTGCCATATTTATTACAACGTTTCGGCATTTCAGTATCTGTCTATATTTCTGAGATGAGGTATTATGTACACTATTTACATTATTCGGACTATTGTCCTCATCTTTGTTGCCATATTTATTACAACGTTTTGGCCTTTCAGTATATGTCTATATTTCTGAGATGAGGTATTATGTACACTATTTACATTATTCGGGCTATTGTCCTCATCTTTGTTCCAATATTTATTACAACGTTTCGGCCTTTCAGTATCTGTCTATATTTCTGAGATGATGTATTATGTACACTATTTACATTATTCGGACTATTGTCCTCATCTTTGCAGCCATATTTATAACAACGTTTCGGCCTTTCAGTTTCTGTCTATATTTCTGAGATGAGGTGTTATGTACACTATTTACATTTTTCGGGCAATCGTCGTCATCTTTGTCGCCATATTTATGAATTAAATTGAGCTTTTATATTTTCCTCGGTTTCTCCACCCTGTCTTTTCTCGCACCTTCACTCTCTTGCATGGGTGAAATGATTACATCACGAAATTAATAAAATTGTCAACATCCTGTAGGAATTGTTGATGCTACAGTCATGTGGGTAGCGCCATCTGTTGAGAAAATAATACTACACTACGAGTACTACGAGTGTTATCGAAATTTGATAAAACAACGAAGCACAATTTTTTCTTTCTTGAAGTGTGTACACATTTTGGGTGGACTCTTGTTGGATAGATAAGTCTCCTGCTTGATACATGTTTATTAATTTAGATTTTCAGAGGATTCCGTCATTTAATGGTATAAGGACAATAAAGTTGCCTGGATAGTATCTATCTATCTATCTATCTATCTATCTATCTATCTATCTATCTATCTCAGCCTCTATTTCAGCATCTATCTATCTATCTATCTATCTATCTATCTATCTATCTAATCTATGTATCTATCTATCTATCTATCTATCGAATCTATGTATCTATCCATGTATCTATCTATCTAATCTATGTATCTATCTATCTATCTATGTATCTATGATGACAGCTGGAAAAATAATCTTAGATTTTGCCGACGCGTTTTGTCTTCCGACTTTTTAAAGGCAAATATGAAATCGAAATGTTTTTGTTGGTATAGTTACATTAAAAATCCAAATTTAAAAAGATAGACGCTTCTGTCTAAGCCTTTTCTGGTTAATGTAAATTTCCTTTATACTAAGAGATTTTTCCATGTCGACAATGCAGTTGTCTTGTCCACAGAATTGATACAGAAATTTAACTAATATATATATATATATATATATATATATATATATATATATATATATATATGCTGTTCCATATCTACCTTTCTATCTATCTCTGCCCGTCCATATCTATCTATCTACTTCCGTATTTTTATATCTGTTTAAAGATAAGGAGGAGGAGAACGAAGAAGAAGAAGAAGAAGAAGAAAGGAGGAGGAGGAGGAAGAAGAAGAAGAAGAAGAAGAAGAAGAAGAAGAAGAAGAAGAAGAAATGTTGATTAAATCGTTATTTTCTCGTCCACTTAATTTTATTGCCAATTTTAATTTTGGTTTAAGGAACTGGAGAAATATCTACTGCATATACAGAGTCTTACCAAATATGTATGCATATCTCATGAAAGGAATAATTTGTATACATAGTGTAATACTAATAATATTCATACATCACGAGATTAATACAAGTTACCTTTGTACTCTATAATTACAAGAGATGATCAAAATGGTGGCCTTCAGCTTTTAGATATTTATTAGGTCTGTGAACTACTGTGTGGGCAACACTAGCCAAAATGTACAGCGGAATTGATGCATATGCATTTTCAATTTCTTGCCTAAGTGCCGCAAAAATGTAGTTGGATTTATACAAGGCATATCCTTTAAGACTAGTTGATACTACAGTCACGGGGTTAGCGCCATCTGTCGAGAAAATACTACAGTAAAAAAGTGTTATCGTATTTTGACAAAACAACGAAAAGACAGGTTTTTCCTTTCTTGAAGTGTGCATATATGTTTCTCAATGTATTCCATCTAAATAATCTCAGAATAATCACAAACACCTCGAAAACCCTTATAATCCTCAAAAACCCATAACAATAATATTTCTGAAGTAGGCATATATATAAAACAAGTTAACAAATTTGTTTTTAATACACTCGAGAAACATTCAGAAATGTTTAAAAATAACCTATGAGCACAAAAGAGACCACATAAATAACAATTTAAGAAATGCACTAGTCATACATAAAAATAAATTCAACCACAATTTTAATTTTACAAATGCTACATCCATACAAAAAGAACATAATTCACCCAGAAAGAAAATCCTCGAGGGTGCCACCATTGAATGTTATCCAAATATCAATCTATGCCCAGATTTTTTTACCAATATCACTTCTCCTAACAGAATCGCTCTCCCAAGCTAACGGACACAACAAATAAATCAAGAAATTAAAAGTAAACGGTTGAATCTTTCAATACTACAATACAAATAATATTTGTACACTTGAAAATTTTCAAACATAAAGTAATTGGCGTAATATTTCAGTTGACCACAATATACAATAGCGTTTCTAAATTCTTCGAGTTAATAACGACATTTTGTTTGTTGCTTATACTTTGTTTCGATGAATTAAATTCGTTTCTTGCCTTGAAAAAGTCCTCATTGGACGAAACGCGTCGGCTAAAACCACAGTTTTCCTTAATACATATATGAATTCAAATCCAATCAGGAGCTCCAACAAACATCCCGGATCTGATGGCAATATGCGAAGAAGAATGGAACAAAATACCAATAAAAATCTGCAAATCTTGAATTGAGAACTACAAGAGATTGGTTGCTGTAGAAGTGAATAATGGCTATTCTACAAACTATTAAATGAAGATTATGTATTCATTTTTGTATTGTACAAGTTTATTCTGTTTGCTATGCATATTTAGTTCCTATGCATCTCTGTGCAGTTAATTATAGGAAAAATATGTTTAATCAGGAAATTATTTGAATTAAATTGAGTTAAAGTAAGCTCTGTTCCATTTTCAAGCGAAATTTTTTTGGGAATAATGTAATTCTGAAATTTACGTGTTTTAATAATTGAATTCAAAATTTCCATGGTAACAAATAATTATCTTGAAGTTTTCGGCTCTTGTTTTGAAACATGAGACTTCTTATGTCGCGAGTTGGAATCATATTTTTAAATAAATATATATATATATATATATATATATATATATATGTATATATGCGTGTGTGTGTGTGTATTTCACATACAATCGCTGTGTGTGCTTCTGCGTCTACTCACAAGCTAAACATAAAATACTTAGCTAAACCTTCTCATACAATGAGTTGCCGTTTAAGTTAAAGAGATTAAAATTAGATAAATGAACAATTATGAAGATTCAAATATTTGCTTTTAGGATGGATATGAAATGTCAATACGAAAGCATACGTTTCTTTTGTTTAAAGATAGATAGATAGATAGATAGATAGATAGATAGATAGATAGATAGATAATAAAGGATTTTTGTTTTTGTTTGTTTCGTTTTGTTTTTGGCCTATCAATCTCAATGGGTTATTTAATGCCGATAAGATTTTTATTGCTGGTTTGGTTTGGTTTGTTTTACGGCATATCAACCTCAATGGGTTATTTAATGCCGACAAGATTTTTATTGCTGGTGTTTTGTTTTTTTTTTAAATGTATTGATGGTAAAATTTTTTTTCCTTCCAATTCTATTTCTGGTAATATTTTTTCTTCAAAAAAATATTGCTTTTAATTTTTTTTTTTTCAAAAAAGTAAAGCTGGGAACATCTTTTTACAAAAATGTATTGCTGGTAAAAAATTTTTCTTCAAAAATTTATTGCTGAGAATAACTTTTTTGACAAAGTATTTCAGGTATTAAAACCTATTTTTACACTTTCATTGTGACTCCAGTTAGGGCGGGGGTTAACTATTTGCCCATAGCTGGGACCCTAATAGTGCTGCCACCCTGGGTCTGGGTCGACCTGGGAACACCAGCAATTAAGAGGTGGCTCCACTCTCGTCAAAACTTCCTGATCAGAGGTCTTGCTGTTGGACGTAGTTTATCGTCTTACCCATGACCCGGATGTAGTTTATCGTCATACCTAGGACGGAGATAATGAAGGAATAATGTTTGATAGATAGATAGATAGATAGATAGATAGATAGATAGATAGATAGATAGAAACAGAATATAGCTCAGATCTCGTCACCTCCACTTGATAAATAAATAGATAGATAGATATGAACAGGCGATAGCTGAGATCTCGTCACCTCCACTTGATAGATAGATAGATAGATAGATAGATAGATAGATAGATAGAACAGATAGATATGAACAGACGACAGCCGAGCTCGACACCTTCATTTGATAGATAGATAGATAGATAGATAGATAGATATGAACAGACGATAGCTGAGATCTCGTCACCTCCACTGATAGATAGATAGATAGATAGATAGATAGATAGATAGATAGATAGATATGAACAGACGATAGCTGAGATCTCGACACCTTCACTTGATAGATAGATAGATAGATAGATAGATAGATAGATATGAACAGACGATAGCTGAGATCTCGTCACCTCCACTTGATAGATAGATAGATAGATAGATAGATAGATAGATAGATAGATAGATAGATATGAACAGACGATAGCTGAGATCTCGTTACCTCCACTTGATAGATAGATAGATAGATAGATAGATAGATAGATAGATAGATTGGAGATCTCGGAACGAAAATGCATATATTAGATTAATTCATTTCTAAATATCAAACAAATCTGCGTCCTATCTAGCCGCAAACCATTGGCAAAAATCCTACACGACAAACTTAATATATATATATAATATATATATATATATATATATGTGTGTGTGTGTGTATACACGCAGAAACACGTAATTACTTTTTCCTCACCACATAGGAAAACTATTAATTGATAGGATTATTATTATTATTATTATTATTACTATTATTATTATTATCCTTGGGCGCAGCTGTGGGCATGGTAAATTAAATGAATTTTTAATTAACTATCAACGTCCATTGATATAGATGTGATTATGAAACTCTACATAGACTTGCCTTTGCGATAGCAGTTGGATTAATATATACGCACTGCATCAACTCGAATCCTTTGAGTTAACGCACGTTTGTACTCAGAGAAGGAGAGAAAAAAATCCAGGGAGTAAATTTTAATCACGTAAAATCAACTGTATACCAATCACAAGACTTCAAAAATAAGATCCTCATTGCCTCTTACTCTGGAGTAAGACTATTGCTTATATCAAACAACTATACTTGAATTTGAGAAACTTCAGCACGACTGCAGAATGGATACTTGAATTGAGCTTACGCTTTATTAGGTGACACTTCCTTTTATTTTCTTTCATTAGTTACGTTAAGAAATTAGGTGCCGTGAATTGTCGAATCGTAAATTAGCGAGAGATAATGTTTCCTGGTTAAACAAAAAGTATCTCTCTCTCTCTCTTTCTCGCTTTCAATCACGCTCACTCTCTTTGGCTTCACAGCAGGACCGTGAGTCTTAAACTGTTAGAATTAAGTTTCTCGCACTCACTACTCCTTCTCTGCCCCTGACTAAAAATTCCCACTGGGGATAATAAAACTTGCCAGTACATAACATATGTTATGCTATGCAGTACTACAAACAATATTTCTCCTGGAGATAAAACGGATGAGCTGCCTAATCCTTCCTTTACAATTGTCATGGTTCAAAAGCGTCTCAGAGTCCTTGTGGGTGACGAATTATTTCCAGCCTCTGTGTGACAGGCGAGATTTAGCGAACCTCTCACTGCATCCATGGAAAGTGCTCGGACAAACTACATTCATTGGTTCTGCCAGATCTAAGTTCATGTCTAGGACCCACCATTCAATTTGCATTGCAGGAAACCACCACATTCCTCCGTATTCCATCAACGAGAAGTAAGTTCATTCGAACCCTTCTTTTCGCGTACCACTGCTCTGCGAAACAGACTCCAAAAAGGATGTTTACCCGATCACATGTCTAGAGTTAATCTTTACATTCAATACGTATAATCTAGCCCCTAACGTAGCCATTTCCTCGAGTATCCCCAGGTCCTTGTACAGGGTGAACTTACTGTAAATAAATATATATATATATATATATATATATATATATATATATATATATATATATATATTAGTGACTTACATAATAACCATCGTAGATAACACTGCTCGAATTTCATGCAGTCCATGCAATCTTCAGATGTTGATTCTGACAGTTGTGACAAATAACAATCAAAATCGACAACTGAAAATTGCATGAACTGCTTGAAAGCTTGAAACTCCGGACAGTGGTATCGACGTTGGATATTATCTTATTCACTAATATACACACACACACACACACACACACACATATATATATATATATATATATATATATATATATATATATATATATATATTAGTAGAAATATTTTCTGTGAAAATTTCTCGTACATTCAGACCGGTAAATGTTGTTTAATACTGTTTTAATACAGAGCATTTACTTAAATATTTGTATTTATAAAAAATGTATAAATAAAAATGTCTTAAAATAATATTATCAAACTTTGTCCATTTCCTATATAGTCATATATATATATATATATATATATATATATATATATATATATATATATAGGAATATATATATATATATTAAACCTGGTGTGATGGTTGAGCTTGTCTCGCTAGAACAATACGACTGAGTAGTGAGTTCGATCCTCACTGGGTGCCCTTTACTTTCGGCCTTGTGCCACATCCAAGATACGCTTTTGAAAATCACTATATATATATATATATATATATATTATGAGGAGGCACGGTGGAGTAATGGATAGCGGCTTGGACTGAGTTCGAATTCCAGTCGAATGCATTGCCTTCAATTTACGTGCTAATACCCTTTGGGAAAGGTATGATATATATATATATATATATATATATATATATATATATATATATATATGTGTGTGTGTGTGTGTGTGTGTGTTATTGAAACGTGGTCAAGTGGTTAGAACCTTTGCTTTCTGACCATTTCGAAATTTCGAATCTCACCATGGCCGATTTGTCAGGAAGCGTATTTGTTTATGTTATCGGTCTGAAAGGTGGCGGGGGTGGGGTCATCCCAGCGAGATTTTGAACTTGCTGACCTTGTTCAGCATGTTGATCACGCTAGATAACATGCTTCTCTACCAGAAACTGTAACTAAGTTCCTCTCAGCATATTCGCCATATAAACCAGTTGGACTCTGTTGGTGTCGAACAAACACAAAATGCGCCTGTGCAAGCCTCTGCAATAGGGATTTGCTAGCCGCCCTGGTAGGCGAGAAAAGTCGAATACGAGTGGCTAGCCATTAACGATCTATATAGATGGGTGATTTCATTTGATTTTCAGTAAGAGGCGGAATCAACGGAACTTTGATTTATCGATCTGAAAAAAAACAACGGAGATTAACGTTGTGACGCAACTGATTCAACCCTTGACGGAACAACGGCCCCGACGACCAAAACACAGTTTCGAGGAGCCGCAAAGCAAATCACAATGTTGCAATGTCCCGTCATATTATTTATTTATCTGTTTGTTCACTTATTTATTTTTTTTTTTTTTGCTTTCCCTAATGAGTGATGTCTACTTATTGGGTTACGTTGCTTCATAATCCTTTCATTGGGCTTGTAGATAAATTGGCGGCGCCCATCTCATTTCGAAGTCCTTGGCCGTCAGCCGAAACCACTAAAATGGTGCGGATCACCTTAGGTTTGTACAATTGGTCGTTGGGTCCATTGTCACATCCGCTGGTGAAGATCATCAGCCCAGTAGTGCAGAGCAAACACTAACCCGCTTACGTCGTTTAGCACGCCTGTTGGAGACATTTCCGAGAATCATGTGGTGCTTGAAACATTGTTTGAGACAAACAATGAAGAAATAAAATATGAAAAAGGAAGATATATATATATATATATATATATATATATATATATATATATATGTGTGTGTGTGTGTGTGTGTGTGTGTGTGTGTGTGTGTGTGATAGCTAAATACAATTTTTTTATATATCAAGAAGAACATTCAGAGGAAAGATGTATGATGAAGTAGAACAGGTTTTTGTTTGACCCGTTTTTTTTTTTAAGTATTTCTAGAGAGAGGTTGGTGAAAAGACGGCTGATTTGATTTTCAGTAAGAGGCGGAATCAACGCAAATTTGGTTTATCGATGTGAAGACAGCAACGGAGATTAACGTTGTGACGTAACTGATTCGACCCTTTACGGAACAACGGCCCCGATGACCCAAACACAGTTTCGAGGAGCTGCAAATCAAATCACATATGGTGTGCCGTGACAATGTCCCGTCATATTATTTATTTATCTGTTCTTTTTTCTTTTTGCTTTACCTAATGAATGATATCTACTTATTAGCTTACGTTGATTAATCTGTTGCTTCATAATCCTTTCATTCGGCTTGTAGATAACTTGGTGGCGCCCATCTCCTCTCGAAGTCCTTGGCCAATAGTCGAAACCACTAACATGGTGCGGATGGCCTTAGGTTTGTGCACTTGGTCGTTGAGTCCCTTGTTTAGCTGTTGTCCGCTTCTGCAAATCAAGTAGTGCAGTGCAAATACTACCACCTTACGTGGTTTAGCTCGATTATTGAAGCAATTTAGCCGGGTGTGGTGCGTGGAGCCAACACGTGTAAATTTAGGGGATGGGGGAAGACCAGTGTTGCCTGTCAACGTTAATAATAATAATCAGATGCAGCAGCCGAACAACAAAGGTACTACTTCCACACACTGCTCCCTGTACGCAAAAAATATATGCAATTTAATTGAAACAATCGCTTTAGTTTCTTTTCTTTTAGCAATCGGTCAGTTTTAGACCCACTGAAGTGATAGGGTGTAATCGATTTCTATTTTTTTTTTTTTTTTGGTTTACGTCATTGCAGTGGTGTGCAGTAATATGAATCTATTTTCGGCGTGTATGATGAAATTTGTTTGGCCTTGAAAAATATTGCGTCATCTGTGATTGCATCATATTTTTAACCTGCCCGAACACTTTTGTCTCGACTGTCGATTAGTTGTCCTACGGCCATTGTCTACGATGGTCTTCTATAGGAATAAAGTGTCGCTGCTGATACTTGAGTTTGAACATAGATCGCCAGTGCGCAAACACAGGCGATTCGATTTTTGAATTAAGTAGATCACGTGACCATAGAGGAAACACATATATGTAGGAAGTAGCTGATGACTAACGATCGCTATTTCTAGTCTATCCTCTATTACTGTTCGGATCTGCATTTCTACCCTATTATCTATTACAATACAGACCGTTATTCTCAACTCTGTTCACTATATTATTCCTCTATGCAGATCACTATATGGATTAGTGTCCGAACGAGTATTATCGAGCAAGTACTATTAGTGCGAGTCTTATTCGAAGTCGTTTGACACTAGCATTGTCCAACGGTGTACAGTAGTTGTATCGGCGATTGCAAAGTCTCTACTGCAACAAGCATTTACGAAAGTGACCACGAGTATTCGTTGACAACACAAAAGTGTCAATGAGTGTTCGTCAACATCACAAAGGATGGACATTACTCCAAGGAAGCGCGCGAAAACTGTAACGCTGCACGAACAGAAAGTTGCCAGTGAGCAAATCAAAGTACTATGGACTGGCCCGGAAACTCTCCAGATTTAAATCCAATCGAGAATCTGTCGTTTATTTG